TGTAGCAATACAGACGAGGACCATACAAAGACATACAAAGTAAGCAAATGGTGACACACAGAATACTGTAAACAAAATGACAGAGCCTTGACATCAGCTGAGTACAGAGGGGCACCATAATCCAGTGGAATTATTTTTAGCTGACATTTATGTTAAATTATGCTAATTATTGTGATTAGGCTAACTACAGATGAAAATCGAGAGCCAACAGGAAATAGCCAGGAAATAATGACTTCTTTTTCAAAAAAATTCTATTTGCATACATAAAATACAAAAAATTAAGTAGGATTTTTCAAGTCTGCAGTTTTGCTAAACAGCAAATAGAAATCATAAATCATGCAGAGTAACTGCTGATTAAGTATTCAATGGAAATTATATTCTATTCTTCTTGTGTGAATAAGACAGACTCAAACAAGGTGTTACGTTCACTCAGAGATGTTTGGATGCATCAACAAATCATTCTGTGTAATCACTAGGATAAAGCAGTGTGACAATCCCATAGCATGGAAGAGAGGCAGGGACAGTGGGGAATGCCAGTGCATGCAGACAGCTGAGCTTTCCTTGGATTCTCTGACCTTCACCCACCTCCTCTCTTTACACACAAATCACAGGCGAGCTTTTCAACCACTTTAGCACTGAACAGCTGTACGGTTTGCCAGAAAGAATTCAGAGACTAATTTTGTTAGCTAGTCTTCCGTAAAACTTCATGAAATTGTATCTTTATTATTGAAGGAACTTTGCCCAGGCTAATGGGATGCCATTTAAGAAGAACCATCACTACACAGACAACTTGGCTGACATCAAGGTGAACGCTTTCATTTTTAGCAAAGATAAAACACAGAAACATAGGTCACAGAATGACTGAAATGTAGTCGTGGGTTACACACCCAGCTAACATACTATTATTTTAACTACTGTAACAGCACACTTTTTTTTTTCTTTTTAACCTTGGACAATGAGATTTTTCAAATTATTTAAAACCTGGATATTTAAAAACAGAATAAAAGCATGACTTGTTAGGAATACACACCGAGAAGCTACATTTCATGTATTTAAAAACCTTGAAAATGCTAACAGACATTATTTTTATAGAGGCTTCCCTTTATTTTCATGTGTAAAATAGAGAAGCAATCAACTTCCTAAGAAAACAACAGTTTATCATCTTCATGAGTAACCTTTTTATGACTCTACCAAAGTTAAAATTCATATGGAACTGTCCTAAAGCACTTTAAAATAAGATACAATAAATTTTAAAAGACAGTTTAGCCAGCCAGCCTGGGTATCACAATTCCTCATTTGTTCCCCCCACTTAGAAACAACTCTGTTTTCATTATAAGCAACTTAATGGTTTTGCCTATTGGAAACCCAGTGCACCCAAAGTCTGCCCAAAGCAGACATGATGCAAGCACTAGTCTATGCATTTTCACTGTATGGGGAAAAAAACCCCAACCAGGAAATACGTAGGAATATAAATGAAAGGAATTGAAGCTAGTGAGGTGGAAGATATACAGGAGTATAACAAGCAAGATTAGTTATACGTAAACTCTCCTGGTCTTGGAGTACTTTTCTCTCCTACCCTTTTTATCTGACAAGTATTGTGATCTAAGGCAAGCACATCAACTGAGATGATTCCATAGGAGTAAAAAGCTTATGGGGGGAAGCGGGGAGGGACAAAGAAAACAAGATACTTGGGGAGCAGCGGATAAAATTATAGACTAATCATTAGACAATTACTCAGAGAGATGAAGTTACACAAGATGCTATCACAATTATCACAAAGTTATCACAGTTGCAGATTTTTACTCTAATCCTAAACATAAGTCCATGAGATGTTGGGAATTAAATTACTCCTGGAGCCTGTTTATTTCAGTTATCTTGGTAGAAGGACATGAACATATGGCAGAAGTTTGTCCTTGCCTAAAATTACTCTGCCTGTACTACATACATTATAAACGTGCGGACAGGGAATGGCACTGCCAGATGTAGTAAAGAGAATAAGAGGATAAGAAAAAAGGGTGAAGGAGGGAAGGGCTTCCTACCACCCCTTTCACACATGCTAACGAAATATCATTTGCTGGAACGGTAAAAATTTGTAGCACTTCAAAGTCCAGAAGGACTAGCCACAGCTGTGGTGCATGTAACCACATTAGGAATACATGGAAAAAAAAACCAGGAACAGGCACTGAGAAGTGAGAAGTCTGACTCAGACAGATAACCTGATACTGTAAAGCAGATGTGGAGTGAGAAAGAAATGCAGATCCACCAGCATGGAGAGGTATAATATATAGTCAGCACCATACTGCGCTGACAGAGCAATATAACGTCACTGAAGGAGGAAATATTTCTGTCGTGAAAGGAAATAAATGTCATGTCACTGGTAAAGAAAGCAAGCCCCACAGGGACTCAAGAGATGTTTCCCCCCACCCCAAGCTCCCCAGAAACCAAAAGAAACACAACTGAGAACAAAGGAAACAAGAAGCATGAGAGATCTCTGAACTAGAGGTGCTGCCCACAGATATGAACGAAAGGCCTTCCACTAAGAAATGAGACAAAGCCAGAACAACCAAACCTGGAAGAACACTGATTACAGGGAGACAGTTCTCACCAGGCCAGTGTATTTTATTTCTTTACTCATCTGTATCCTTCCCCTTCCAATATCAAGAATACAAGGCAGATTTTGCTCTACCCAGAGTCCTATTTTGTAATCTATTTTGCCTGTTGGTTCAGAAGGGGCTGCAAGCTTTCAAAGTCAAGAAATGGTTCTAGTCCTCAAAACAAAAATATCATGCCCATAGAAACCCTGGGGGTCACCTCTTCATCTAGCTCAAGGAGAATGAAGAATTCAACAGAAAATATTCTAAAGTCTCTAGAGCATTTTGGTGGCCAACATAAGAGTAGCTCTAATTCAAAACCACTGCAAGACGATGAGCCATATGGGAATTATTTTCTGAACTATTAAAAGCTTGTTCATTTGCATAATATGTAACGACAGAAACAACAAACAGAAATTAATTCCTTACCACTGGAAACCAGAATTCTGATATTCAACTGAAAAGATAAGAGCAGGCATTTCCAAATTATAAGACAAGTGCAGAGAACTTAGTGCTGTTTCCCATTTCTGAGAAGTAGAACAAATAAAATCTTTATTTATTTATTAAAGCCTGTATTTTGACACTTGCAAACTCAAGGAAGTAAGTATCTCACTGAAGTGTTTCCAGCTACACCAAACCACATTGATGTCCTTGAACTGAAAAATACAGCAGAAAGCCAAGGATTGTACAGAAACAAAGGTCACATATTCAGGCATCATCAATTTCAGTGCACGCAAATTTCCCAACAAAGCAAACACTTACAGTGCTCTCTTCTCTAGAAAACAACTGGAAAAGTATTGGGGAACTCCATGTTGATGACATCTGTTTTCTCGGTCTGTATTTTTCCTCAGTTTGTAAACAAAAGACTTGCTTCCTCTACTATTCCCACCTGTAACCTGTTGGAGTTATCCTGGGCACCAACAGTCAAGATTATTTCTCTCTTATCACTATCATAAAATTTTAACTACAGCTCTTCAAGCTGCACTAGCCCCTCAATTACACTTTCATGCTTTCAGCCTTCAGTTTTTAATAAGCATTTATCCCTGTGGCCATAGAGGTAACCTGATCACTCAGAAGACCGACAAGGCGGTGCGAGGCTTACCTCATCAGGAGTCTGCTGATGCAGACCAGCGCCCAATGCTTGCATGCTGAGGTTCTTCGGAAATGGAGAAAGAAGCAAATTTGGGAAAACAGTGGTGACAAGAGCAACAGATACAAGCAGCCACAGGAAGAAATATTTTCCTTCCTGTTGCTTTTGTTCTTTCTGTTGTTGGGGCCCTCTGAGATGGGTGGCACAGGAGGAATTACATCTCCTTTGTTCTCTCTTTTTCCTTGATGTTGTGCTTCATTTCCTTTTCGTGTGATAAAGGTTAGAGGAAGGAGAAAGTATTGTTACAGGGAATAAGGAGCCAAAGGTCCAAGGCAGTTGTGGATCCATTCATAACAGGCAGGAGACCAAGAATTATGAAGCAATGAATCATCTGGGACTTATGCTTTCCAGGTATTTTTCTTCCAGTTATGAACGTTGATCATAACTGCAGAAGAAATGGCTGCTAGTAGGACAGACAGAAGAATCAATTTATTTTCCATTTTGGGCTTTTTATTTGAAACTAATCAAAAGACCAGAACAACAGCATTTATAAAAGGTACCCAGAATAACAAAGAATCTTCTGCTGATTTCAAGTCACATTTACTTACATACAGAAACTTTCATTTCGGTAGCTTACAGTCATAGTGATCCTGATCAAAGGCACCTGCAACTGTCTTGGTTGCACATGCACTGTAGTAATTATGCATGCAAATAAGGAAATGAGACATTTTTGTGGTTGATCACCAGTATAATTACTATAACTGAATATACGATCATGGTAACTGTACACACAAATTACACATGCATGCAATTTTAAAAACCAAGCGTTGCATTCATTGTCTCTGTTTCGATAACGTTGTATGGAAACACTCCTCCACTGGAAACAATAAAAAGTATTAACTTTTAAAAATTTGTACATTTATTCAACTTCCTACTGAACATTAAAAAAATATAACAATCCAGTAATTTTGTTTCCCAAGCTGATATATCAGCAAAATCTCACCACTGTCAAAAGATTTACCAACTTGAATAGGACATTTAAACATCACCTCTTATTCCTCCTTTTTATATGTATTTATTAACCTGTAACTTCATTAAGATATTAAAGGATAGGTAATTACTTGAAAAAATAATGCATATGATCAACATCTTTAAAAAGAGATCATCCTTCATTAAGATATTAAAGGATAGGTAATTATTTGAAAAAATAATGCATATGATCAACAACTTTAAAAAGAGATCATCTATCTCTCTAATAGAGATAGCTGGAAATACTTTAAAAGCTTGTATTTTTATCAACCTAAACACTTAAATATACAGGATTTGATTATAGTTCAGACCAGAGGGTTGGTGCATTCAAACCCATACAAGGTATTTTTCCAAGGTACACAAACAACAACACAGAAAATATGCTTTCATCTCTGAAGCCCAGATTTTGATCCATCCATATTAACCTAAGCAACAATTTTGCTAGGGCAAAAGCATTTATTATTCAGTATTTCAAATAATATGACAGAAGTAATAAAATATTTAGATATTGCTGTATTCCGGCAGATCACGGCGTAGTCGTATTGCCTTCAGCTTCTCTACTTTAATTTTTGTTCGCAACAGTTCTTCTTCCAATTGCTGCTTTCTTTTCAAACCATCCCTTTTTTCTTGGACATAAAGACCAATTTTTCTTTGATTTTCTAATATTATTTGATGCTCTTCTTTCAGCATTTGTAACATTTGTGGGTCATAACCACACATTGGTCTAAAGCGTTCTCCAACTTCAAGCCTAAAAAACTCATCTCTTCTTGGTACAGGAGAGGGAGACATCATCACTCTCATATCAACTGAAGATACTGATGTTGAAGGAGACCTTTCCATAATATGCACCAGCTGGTGTTCTTCCTCTTCTTCTAAGGTCTCACTTTGCTGTGAGTCTATAATCAAAGAAGGAGGAGGTTTGATGCAACTCCATCGTGACTGTCGCAGGATGGTGATCCAACATTGCCTGTGGTGAACTGGTGCCAGCAATTGTTTCTTTATCGATACTAGCACTAGAACACACAAAATCATATTTAAATAATCCATTAAAAACTATTTTTAAAAGGTGTAGCTGTAATTAACCAAAGCTTCATGTGAAATACTACTCTGCTATCTGTGCCTGGGACTCTACTTCATTTTGCGAGCACCACCTGTACCCCTCCTTCTTTCCACCACCCAGATACATCCCTGTCTTACTCAGATTCTATTGCTATGAAGGTAGTAGAGCTAACGGAGATCTAGCCTGGAAGGCTCTTATCCTGACACTAGAGAAGCAAGAAGGGCTGTTAGTGACAAATGAGAATAAAAACAAAGCAGCAGCAGCAAGTGATGCAAGTGACAGAGTAAAGAGTTTATATAATATACAATATGATTTTTAAAGGGCATACATTTAAATTGAGTGGACTGTGGCAGAAACACTTCCATCTCCCAAACTTATTAATCTCTTCCTATTCTACTGTGTTGCCTGTTTCTGATTCATGCACCCAAGTATTTGGGGTTTTTTTAATGTAAAACAATCATGGAATAAAATTACACAACGAGCCCTGGGAGAAGAAACCAGAGCCCTAGTGATGACCCTGCCAGTAGATACAGAATCAAGCTAATCGGTCCTTCTTCTCTTTGAATCGGTGATCTCAATATTTTTCTGAAGATTCAAGAGAAGACACAGAAATGTCTCCATTAAGAACAGCCTGTAGTTCTGTGCATTTCTTTTGAAAAGTACAATGCCCACTTGACTCACTGTCTTTGTGTAAACCCCTGAGTCAGCAGCACCTCAAATCATGATTTGACATTACATTGGCTTTGATGATAATAATGGCTCAAGCTGTTCCTGCCTACTTCTCTACCATCAGTTGTGTTTGGAACCCCATGCTTCTGCACACCACTCCTTTATTCAGGTAATGCTTTTTTAAGTCAGGTCAGCTTCTTGATCTATTTTACAGTCCAGAGCTACAAAGAATACTTTCAGCATGACTGGGAAGGCAATATAGTGTAACATGGAAACAGGAATACATTAGCCTGGTACCAATACCAAAGACAGTGCATCATCATGGCCACGACTATCTAAACAGAGCCTGTAAGTCAGAAGAACTGAGCTGCTGCTAGCAGCTAAAGGCAGCGAGTGGATCCATGATTAATATAACATTCACGCATGCTCCCAAACCCTGGAGGATCTGAGTTGCTGTCTATTTAACTGGGGGGTGGGAAGTGTTTGTTTACACTTTTTAAACTCCTTGTGAGCCCTACAATCCACAAATTGAGAAATACTACCTGATTATTAACACACTGTCCTGGTTAGCAGTAGATGTGGGTTCAAATTCCCAGAAGTAAAGGAGAAATTTAATTTGTACATCCTGCTTCTCATGTAAATGCACTAACTCCTTTAATCAAAAAGTGGCATGATCATCTCTTCTGCATCTCCTATGGTCATCAAAACTCTTGGTTTAAAAGAAATAAGCAATCATGTTTGCAGTTTCCAAAGGACTCTGATCTAGTGTGCCATTCATTAGCATGACAGTGCAATTTCTAGAATAAAAGCATCAAAGCTTCTCAGTAGTCAATTGTTAAAATGTTCATCAGGGTCAGAGCAATGTATTTTCCAAAAACTAATCCTATCAACCACCCAGGCTATTTTAACTACAAATTTAAGAAAAAAAGAAAAAAAAAAAAAAGGGGGTCCATCTGAAGCAGCTATTGAAAACAGACCTTTCATTTATTCCCTGAAGAAAATGCCAGGGTAATCTTAATTCTATTGACTGTTACCTGAGCTGCCTATAGAGCATCAATTATATCACCTTACTCCCTCCTCCTCATGCCACAAAGCTTCACCTTTTCCTATACAACTCTTTCTCACATTCCTTGTACGCCTCTCATTGAGCATTGGAAGTATTATCCTGCACACAAATTTTCACTTGTTTTCTCCAGCCCTGACTATAATTCTGGGTTTCCCCCTCTTCACAACCGCAGTTCCTAATACAGCTTCTCTCCGTCTTAGTTGCTGGCTGCTGGCCAGCTTCTAGCCTGAGAAAAATGGAAACAACCAGCAGGAGAAGCAGGTCATTCTGACAAAAGGAAAGAGAGAGAGAGCAGAAAGAGAAAGTGAGAGAGGTTAAAGAGAAGAAAGATAGGTAAGATTTAGTATAACATAGACTAGGGCCTCCAAACACTGAAAAATCAATTTCTTAAAGCGCAGTCCATACAGAACTAGAGAATTACCAAATCTTCAGGTAACTCTGATGAGGCTTTTTTTTTCCTTAGTATCCTAAGAGGAAAACAATTAGCATAGAGAGAAATTAGGAACTGAGAAACAAAAGAGCCGCCTTATAGTGGTTACTAATGTTGCTTCTGACAACTTGACTGAAAGACAGACAACAGTTACCACAATTGGGGGATGGTGTTTATAACCCTGCAGGCACCCATGATTCACCAGGTTTTGTTTAATCACAGTGAGCTGGAAATTGCTTAAAGGTGCAATTAAGAATTTGGATTCATTGTAAGTTGTACTTCCCTCCTACAAAACCTAAGCCATATCCTGGTGAGTCAAAACCCAATACAGGGTGTTGAAAATTAGGGTAAAACGCAACTCAGAGTTAAAATCAGAACTATCAAATGATGATTTATTTGGGCAGGGAAAAAATGATCTTTTAAATTATATTATTTTCCTTCAGTGCACAGTGTATTGGCTGTTCCTAGGAACAACCATTTTCGGTAAGCAGTAATCAAGTCAATGTTCTCAGACCCATAAGGGACTGCAAAAAAATATTTAAACTATAGGAGACAAACTATGGAGATCATTAGCTCTTAATCATTCACAAAAAGCACCAGTGCTTCTTATAAGCCGATCTACAAACCAAAGTTCTCACACTATTTTTTTTTCCTCCTTACAAAAGTTGGTAGTCAAGACACTGCAATCTTTATTAGCGCAATTAAAAGCCTTGTTTTGTTCCAAAGAATTCTTTGGAACGGTTCCTCCAGGGGCATTCACCAGGAGCAGCAGTGCAGCCCAGTTGCTTCAGACTTCTTTACGCAAAGGACCCACAACAGCATATTTTTAGAGCATCTGGCATGTTGGGATTTAGACAATTGTTACCATTCAGTTCAACCAGTGGCACCATGAATCCAATTCCGCGTGTGTGCGCATGCCAGCTTTTCTTAGAGTGTTTCACTGCTGCACCGATTATCAGTATATCTGATTAAAATACGTAAAGTTCACTTCCCATTAATCTGCTTGGGAAAATAAGAAAAATCAGAGCTTTCTCAAGGTTGTTGGGGAGTTATCTGACTTTGTGTTCCCTCCTCCCTAGCTTAGTTTTTGTATCTGGAGGAACCAAAACCTGACCCAGGCATTTTTTGATCCCTCAAGGACCAATACAGAACCAGCAGAGTGTTGCAAGTCAGATACGAGGGGCATTACCCAGCTGTGGGAGAAAGCCTGCATGCTGCCTGCCTGTATTATGTCTGGCTCAAATCTAGACAGTGTGTCTCAGTTTACTGAGCAGTACAAAAAAAAAAAAAAACCTACAAAAAAAAAGAAAACTTCTAGTGCCGTACCTCTCAGCTTCCCTCTGTATTTAAACTACCTAACAGAGGATACAGAACTGCTTGGAGTTCAGACTGCAATTAGCTTTGCTCTAGTTTCAGAGAACCACCCTCAATGCAAGAAAAGAATAATTTAAAAAAACATTTGCACTCACAAAGGCACTGTGGTGTGGGGAGTCACATTTTTTTTAAAGGGTTGGGATCAGTTAAAACAAAACATGCAAACATCAGAGTAAATGAGAGAAAAAAGGTGTATGAGTAAGGTTCCTTAGCTCTGTGAACTAACTTTATTAAAATCCTGCATAAACTGGTAATAGTTCCATATGTTGCAAAATGACTGCAGTATTACCTTAAATGGAGGAGAATAGCCATCACTTTGCCAGTGTTTGAATAATCTGCCTATTACAAGGTAGGGGAGGGGTAGAGGTTGGAGCTACTATTTCTCTTTGATTCTCTCTTAACCCTCACTTTCCAGAGTATGACAAAGACTCTGAAACAGGCTTTGAAAGAGAGGCTGAAAAAAATGAATGCAGGGCTAAGTCACCATAAAGCTTCCCATAAAACAAAAGCAATATTATTTTGTCATTTTTCCCCATTTGGGGATTCCCTCTGCTAAACATATCCCTTAGGAGCCTGAACACAAGCAAAGCGTTACACAGTAGATAGGAGGCGCCATAATTTTCATTCAGTAACAAAATAAAAAGAATCATCTCACCTTTGAACACCGCTCCTGTCTCTTAAACACACATTGGAAATCTGTGGAATCATCTCCACAACTTTCTTGGTTGGTTCGGAAATGCTGCTTTTACAATCTGAGTGAGTCTCCTTTTGCTGCAATAGCTCCTGTTTGGCATATTCTTTGAGCCTCTTGTACAGCGTGCGCAGGCCCTGTGCAGTGCGAGGAGGGCGATCTACTCCGATGGCATTGTAGTTATCAGCTATGATATCCCAGCATTTGTTTTTTTCCACTATTACAGAATGCTTATTGGTATGTTCCTCGAGAATTTTAACGTACGGCTTCACGAGTTTTAGCAAATCGAGCTTTTCAGATAAGGTAAAATTAGAAGATCTGGCCTTCCCAACCATTGTTATCTTTGAATTAAGGAAGCCGTTTCTGAAGCCACCATGCAGTCCCTAGCTCTGCTCAGCTCTTTTTCACAAACAGAAAAAGATCAGGCTTAACTAGGCTAGTCTCATTTAGGCCCACGCCTACAAGGGAGGGTTTATTAAAATTCCTTCAGCTTAAGCTGACGCAGGTTCAGGAAATCTGCTTAAGCCAAGCCTGACCTACATAAGGCTTCAGTCTGAAGAAGACGAGAAGAAACAAGAAAAATACACTTTTGTATGAAGAGACCAGACATACGCAGGATTTAAAAACATAAAGGTTTAACGATTAGCACATTACCCAGCTAAAAATTACCTAATTTAGCTTGAGTAACAAGCTCTGACACATCTCCCTAGCTCTCTCTCACACGCATCTCAAACTGAAAACGCACTCGAGATGATTTTTACATGTAACGACGTCCCAAAAAAAAAAGCAACAATTGCTTTGTGAAACGCACTGAGCGTTACAGGGAGCGGGGAGCCGAACGGCAACGGCGGCGTGTGTAGAGAGCTCCCTGACAGAGCCCCCGGCCGCCGCCGCGCTGCCCGGCGCCATTTGCATAATGCTGGTCCTGCTGTCAATCAGGGGCGGCAGAGCCTCCAGCCGGTTAGGTTACACTCGGGCGCGGGCTTCGCAGTAAAGCTGAGCTTCTCCTGCACTTGGCAGCCCGCTCCGGCTACCTACACGGGGGCTTCTTAAAGAGGCCGCTGCTCTGGGCGGCC